ACGTCGAAGATACAGACATCATACCAATAACTGCAGCAGCGGAGCCGAGGCTGATAATCCCTCCCAGGGGAATTCCCCACCTTTGACTTTGAGGAATTGTCCGATGGAGGTTTTGAAATGACGGGAGGGTGGCTTGGACATCATTTTTCTGCCACCATTTTGATGATGGGAGAGAGAGACCGGAGGGGGAGGGGGAGGGGGAGGTCTAAGAACTTCAACGACCAAAGAAGATTTTGTGAAGGATGCCAGTGTTGAGACGAAGGGGATAAGGGTAATATTGGGTCTTAAAAAAAATTTATAGGTCACACGGGTTAGATGTGCACATCATGACAGATCATTAACGGATACCGTTAAGAGATTTACCCTTTTCTAAGTGGGGATTAGAGTTTATTTTCCTGGGTATCATTTACTCATTTACCCATGTAATTGATACTCATCTCCTAGGTAGATATAGGAATGGTAACGGGTATGGTACTCGTGCAAATTGCCATACTCGTTCCTGAACCCGCTATCCCTGATTCCAAATCCGTTAAACCCATCCCAACCCATCTCACCCGTTAAATCCCTTGACCAAATATTTTCTACTAAAAAAAATATTTTTTTAATGCTTATAGTGTGACTTGAACCCATATCAATTAATGATAGCACGAAATCTCTTAACACTACTTTAAGCCACAAGCAATTTCGCCTTTTGTGTTATTTAATGAAATAAAATATATTTTATTAACTTTTGTATTCATCAAAACAATCAATACATATATATGGTTAACAATTCCAACTAAAAATTAAAAGAAATACTATTTAAAATTAGCATTTTATAAATAAATGAAATAAATAATCTATCAAATCCAAATTTACATCGAATGATGAATTTAATCCCAAGAAATTTATACAAATAAAATATTAATAACAGAATAATTATCTTAATACTTAAAATATATAAATTTGTGCATGATATATAATATAATAGGTTTATGTTTATGCATCCTGGGTATCGAGTATCGGATACCCTAAAGCCAAAATCCAAACCCTATAGGGTTTAAATCTAAAATCCCAAACCTGTCCCAAATCCTATAGGGTTTTAATAAACAGGTCCTATTAGGGTCGGGTCGGGTTGGATACCCAAAAATTCCTGTGAAATTGCCATCCTTAGTGATGAGGGGTGATTTGGCCTGACCTAATAAGTAAAGGACACGTGGATGCGACTTGCCAGCTAGACGACAAATCAGCATGTGGTGCCACATCAACAGATCGTAGGACCTCGGGTGCTCGATCACTTCGGAACCAGAGCACCTCGGTACCCTTGCACGTTAGAGCACCTCACTATCCACATGTGCTGAGGTGTCACATAACTGAACCTAGAAGCTTGCCAATTATCTCTGAACTTCTCGGAATCACGCCGCGTAACTGTAGGCCTTATCCTCATCTCACCTGAATTGGAGGGAAACAGTAAGCCTTATTAATTGGTACGTTACCCACATTCCAAAGTGGAATGGATCCCTACGTCACGAGCCGGAGATTCTGAGAGCATTTTGCGATACCCACGACATCCTAGCTATATAAGGGCATCAACCCCCAAGACTTAGGTACACGGGATTATTTGCTCATTGGCTTACTAGCATACAAACTTTCAGCTCGCACAACCCAGTATTAACTTAAACATTGGAGCGACCTCACCGGGTTAGTCACCCTGGGTTCTTTGATCCTCTGTCTTGTAGCTTGGTCCAGCTTGTTACACGACTAAGGTCTAGGTCATCTTCCAGTTAGGAGTTTCCAGATCACGCACATTCATCTAAGTAGAAAAATAACTTTCCCACTTGGAGAGAAAGTCACTAACACTTGAATGAGACAAAAATACTCATTTTAATAATAAATTTTTATAGATAAAAYGATCATTGTCTTATTCATCATGAATGGGAATAGGATTTTAATTCCACCCAACCAAATGGTTGGAATTGCCATTCCAATTCCAATTCCAGACCTATATTCTTGTAAACAGAACATACCCTAAATTAAAAAAAAAGATTTAATTTATAAGAGTGATCAGAATTTAGTAAAATTTGATTGGACATTTGATTAGATAGAAAAATCTCTCATAGTCTCTCAACTTGAACAAATTCTTTTTTTTTTCTCTAACAATATTAATGTTCTTATATCGGTTTCCATGTACTACATGTGGGGATAGATATCTCTATTCATATCTTCACCATGACAATATGAGATATATGCCAATGGGATCCACCAATCTACAATCTATCAATGATATGTTTTCTTTAAATTAAAATCAAACAAAATTAACTCACTTTTATCCACCTTCACTTACAAGCCATTTATTTTCGATAAAAAAGTTAAATACGATGAAAATATTCATTTGAAATTTATAAATTAATTTGATCGTTCATTAGGTTAGATTAAATTTTTTTCATAATATCTTCCTCACCTAGATAAAATCTCTTGGGAAAAGTATTGACAGGTGTAATGCAGATTTCTGAATTCTACTGTAAATCTATAAACATTCAAAATGTTAAATAACCACATTTTATGTATTCATATTCGTCTATGAATTGGCATCAATTCTGAACTGACATCTACCCAAATGTACTTTGAGCCTATAAATTCTGACCCTAGGCTGAACCGTAATTCTCCCAAATCTCTTTGTCTTTTCTCTGACTAAGTAAATATTATAATACCAATTGACACTCTCTCTCACACTTCGGATCTGCATCTGCTACCCAGAAACTGTTACCACATATGACATATCTACAGAACACCATTTCCATGGAAACATCTCCCATGAATACAAGGGAGATAATGCCAATGCCCAGTTGTAATGTCTTGTGGGTAGAGATGTGGGAACAAATTGGGTAGCAGACCAGAGCCCGGTCATGTGGTAATGCTATCTTAATTCATAGTTCACCCATGACACGTGATAATGGACCCACTTTAAATCAAAAAAGAAAAAAATAAACAAAAAGTGTTAATACAACAAAAAATCTAACAAAATTCTCAAACTCTTTTTATCCTCCATTTATAAACCATTTATTTCTAACAAGGAGGTTGAATATGATGAAAAATATTCATTGAAAATTTTATAAATTAGTTTATATACATGTGTGTTACATACAATTCGTATTAAAAAACAGGGTAATTGATTATGTTCTATTTTTCCTCGTCTTCTACAATTTTTTTTTTTAAATTTTGTTTTTGCATATGCTTTTGATGATCATGGTGTTAGGTTGTTAGGGCTAATAAAGACCTGTTTACGGGCTGGGCTTCAGGCTTGGTTTTATGCTATTTTGGGCTCACGTGGCCAGGCCCATGAAGGTAATTGTTTGGAATGTCACCAACACTTTGCTCTATTGTATTAAGGGTGAAATATAAAAATCTCCCGAGATTTTTGACAATCATAAAAGTCTCCCTTATGTTTTCAGTTTAACAAAAACCTCCTCCGAATTTTTCAGAAAACATGGGACTACCTCCCTTCCTAGACAGAAATGTCATCCTAATGTGTTTGTTTTTTAAAATACCTATTTTGCCCTTATACCTATCAATTTAGATGTAAATACTCCTTGATGAGCCGCCGGCGTCTATGTACATGTTACTGGTGGTGAGGTCGGTGTCTGAAGATCGGACCACTTGGTCTCTCACTAAAAAAGTGGGAGAAGATATTGCCAAAGAGTCCGCGAAAAATGGAAGGGTCTCTGAGTGACTGGAAACTCACTGTACAGAACCGACAGGCCAGGGTATTTGTTGTGCCGTCGGCGGCCGCTCTTGTTATCAATGTCTTCAAAGAGCGTGAATGGGATCGAAAGAAGACCAAGAATATTAAACACACAGGCAACATTTCTCTTGATGATGTTATTGAGATTGCCAAGATTATAAGTCCTAGATTGATGGCGAAAGACTTGTCCGGAGCTGTGAAGGAAATTCTCGGCACCTGATTTGTTTTGTTGGCTGTATGGTCAATGGTAAGAACCCAAAAGATCTGCAGTAGGAGATAACCAACGGCGGTGTTGAGATTACGCAAGATTGAAAAATTTAAGTTAAAACTCTTTGGTTCACTGCATTTTGTTTTTTCCCAACCATTTTAATTATCCCAGGGATTTTTCTATTCTTTCTTAAATATCGTCCTCAAGAAGTTAAAAGGACAAAATGAAAACATTTGAAGAATTTGTTAGATGACTCTCGATTCATATGTTTATTATGTGGGATTTGGATAAATATAATGTGGTTTTGGAAAAGAATAGAAAGTGATAGGAGAGAAAAGAATAAAGATAGGAGGAGAGAGAAAAAAAGTAAGAGAGAGGGGGAATGGAAGGATGGAGGACCTGTTGGGTTTTCTTCTCTACCTACATGTGTTTTTAGATATTTTGATAATTTTATATTTAAGTTGTTAAATATAACTTATAAGGACAAAAAGGTATTTTCAAAAAAATAAATATATTATATCATCATTTTTCATTTGGAATGATGATTGAAGGGACGTAAACTGTACGTTATTTGAAAAATAAAGGGTTTGTTAAAGTGAAAATATAGGGGAGATTTTTATGTTTGTCAGAAAACTGAGGGGAGRTTTTATATTTTACTCTTGAGTAAAGATTGGCACAAGAGATGAAGAGAATCGTGTCTGGCCTATGGGTATTTGGTTGGAGCCCGATTCATCAACTCTCTCGGCTTCTCCTCCAGCCCGTTAATCCATTTGTTAGGGTTTGGAGCTTTTTCCTTCAAGGCATGAGAGCCACTGGTTTCACTTTCACCAATCGCCAGATGCCAAATAGATGGCGGTTGATGCACTTGAATGCTTCAACCGTGGTAATCGCTTTTCAACAACAACAACGAAAAGAAAACTGAAAACCGTTAACCGTCACTTTCGGAATGACGGTCGAGATTTCTTTGTGCCAGGTCCTGGAGGGCTTGACTTCGAAACTTTTTGTTTAATACACTGACTGTCATTTTTGTTATGAAAACTTTTGGTTCCATTATCTACAGGAGAGGAAGAAGAAGGATTCCCAAGACGGGAGCACCTCCGGCGTCAAGTTTTCCGGCACTCCCTCCCTCTGGGTGCCGGGATTATGACCGGAGAGGCTCTCGAAACATTCTCTGTATATGTAACAATGGTGAACGGTAACAAGGTTTCGCCTGTAGATGAAGAAATCCCTCGGGAAAGTTCAGATGACAAAGATCAGGAAGACGCAGCAGCTCAGGTTGAACCCAAGCCGTGGAAAAAGAAGGCATTGCTGGAACTCAGGTCTAAACTAGAAGACGCCATCCTTGGGAATACTCTTTTGAACGACCACCCCAGCACCGAATGCGAGGTCTCACCGGAAACAGAGAACCTCGAAGACATTTCCCTCTGGGGAATACCGCTGTTACCTAGTAAAGGCCATGAAGGTACCGACGTTATCCTCCTCAAGTTCTTGAAAGCACAAGATTATAAGGTGTCTGAGACGTTTGAGATGCTCCGGAAGACGTTGATATGGCGCAAGGAATTCAAGACTGAAGGAATTCTTGAAGAAAACTTCGATTTTGAATTCGACCATGTACTGTACACCAACAGTACAGATAAGGAAGGCCACCCTCTGTGTTATAACATCTGTGGAGCCTTTGACAATGAGCTGTATGAGAAGACTTTCGGGACAGAGAAAAATTGCGAGGAGTTCTTGAGGTTGTCCGTTCAATTCATGGAGAAGGGTATCCAGAAGCTGGATTTTAAAGATGGAGGAGTTGACTCCATGGTTCAGATTACAGACATGAGAATCTCACAGGGGTTGGCCATGAAGGAATTGCATGGTAATTACAAGAAAGTCGTATCACTGTTTCAAGAAAATTACCCTGATATTATTTTCAAAAGTGTAAGAAAATACTTTCCTTTCTTTTGATCTTTTCTTCATAATCAGTTTGTGATTTCTGCTTTTCGTTTTTTTTTTTCTTTTTCATTCTAACAAGCTGCTTTCTATGCCTTGGTATATATGATTTACAGATATTCATAAATGTTCCTTTTTGGTGTTACGCTTATCACAAAATGTTTTCTCGGTTTATAACTAAAAGAGCAAAAGCCAAATTTATATTTGTTCGGCGCTCCAGAGTTTCAAAAACCCTTCTCAAGTAAGTACAGTTTTCTAATGCATATTTTCTCTGATTATACTTCAATCAATACTAATTAACTCTTCTTAAACTAAAGGTTCATAGCCCCAGAAAACATCCCAATTCAATATGGTGGCCTCAAAAGAGAGAACGATGATGAATTTGCGCCAGAGGATGGAGCTTCCGAACTGGTTGTCAAGTCAGGTGCAATAGAGAGCATCGAAATCCCAGTGGAAGAGGTACATGAATCAATCACCCACAGCCATGATTTGATTCCATTTTATTTTTCTTTCATCTTCTGGTAGGGGAGAAAGAGAGATGAGTCTCTGATCTTTTACAGTTCAATGGCACTCATTTCTGCCTTTTGTTTTCTGTGAATTGATCAGCCTGGAGTTACAGTAATTTGGGACTTGATGTTTGTCGGACGGGACATGAGTTACAGAGAAGAGTTCATTCCAGACGATGAATGCTCATACACAGTTCTAATTAAGAAGGAAAAGAAAGTGGGAGGGAGTGTGAGAAATTCCTTTTACATTAATGAACCAGGAAGAGTACTTTTGACGGTGGATAATGGTTCCTATAAGAAGAAGAAAGTTTATTATAGATTTAAAGCCAAACCCACAGTCCCCATCTATCTCTTAACAAACAGTTGAATCCTTATTTTAATGTTATGTCGCTACCTCTTGTTTGCTTGGAAACTTAAGATTGAACTACTAGTAATTAACAACTTATGTGTGAATTATATTCCAAGCAAATCTATGGCCAAGGCAAAAAAGTTGATTAAATCCCCATACTATGTAATTCTCATTTTCTCCCATTTTTTCATCGTCATAACAAGGGAAAGCCTTTCTTCTTTTCTTCATCTGTGTGTAGGGTATTTGATGAATATGCATGACTACAAATGCATCGGATTTAGGCCATGTTTGGGAGTGCTTAAAAATAAGTATTTATTCAAAATAAGTGCTTATTTGGGGTCATTAAGTACTTATTGGTATTTGGGAAATAAATAAGCCCTAAATAAGTGCTTATTTTAAAAATAAGGGCATATTTTTTAAGCCCAAATCTCTGGCTTTTTTAAGTGCTTATTGTATAAGCACTTATTCATTTTTTTTCTTCCAAAACTATCCCTAGTTGAATTTTAAAATACCACATATAAAATTATCCCTAGTTGAATTTTATGAAAGTACTTTTACAATAGCATTTTTATGAAAGCACTTACTTTTATGAAAGCACTTTTATGAAAATACTTTTATGAAAGCACTTTTGTAAAAGTACTTTTATAAAAGTGCTTTTGTAAAAGTGCTTTCATAAAAGTACTTTCATAAAAGTGTTTTTACAAAAGTACTTTCATAAAAGCGTTTTTCTAAAAGTAATTTAATAAAAGTGCTTTCAAAGGGTATATTTTGAAAATTTGAAAGAAAATGAAGGACAAAATAGTCATAAATGTTTATTTAAGTGCTTATTAGAGAAAAGGACTACCAAACGCTTAAGGGGGTCAATGGACCGGTTTTGGATTGGATCCCATCCAGTCCAAAATCAATTTGGACGAATTGGATGGACCAATAAGACATATTAGATTGGGCCAATTCGATCTAAAATATTTATTAGATTGGATTGGACCTGGTCCGTCTATAATAAATTTGTATTGGATTTGATTGGATTAAGCCAATATCTGGTCCATTGAGATAATATAAGAATATAGGTGTCAATAGATCGGGTTTAGGTTGAAACAAATCCAAACCAAAACGAATTTGAGCAGATTAGATAGTCCAGACACTGAATTGGACTAGTACAAAATGATCCAAAATATTCATTGGATTGGACTGGACCTGGTCCATTTATAATGGACTCACATTGGATTGGATCGGATTGAACCAAATCTAGTCCAATTGACACTCCTACAAACACCCAATGAAAAGGTTGGGTGCCAAATGCAAATAAGTGTTTATTCGAATAAGCACATGTTTTTAAGCATTCCCAAACATGGCCTTAATATGATCAGAATCCTGGTTATCCATTTATTCACAATTAGATTTGAAAAATATGATTGGATACAATCCGTTTATTAATCAGATAGAATTCGAATATTTAGATATGTCAATGGGTTGGTTCTGGACATGTCCCGAATTAATTAGTTCTATAAGATGGACCCAGAACTAAACCAATTAATATTTGGGATAATTGGGTTTGACTCAATTAGACTAGATTATACTTGACATTTATGCGGTATGTGTTTGGAATCAATGTTCTTTCCTGAGAGGAAAAAACAAGATGTTGCATAGGCATGCCATTTTTTTAGAAAACATTTTTTTTCTAGTTGTCTATTTGGTACCATTGTTGTTGCTGCCACAAAAGCGTTTTTCAATGCCATATTAGCATATTGTTGCTAGCAACAGTAGAAAAAACGAGAAAACATTAAGGTGTTGTTTGGTACTTTGGTGTTGTGCGTTTGTTTTGAGTCCACGTAGGAGATTATACTTCAATGGTCGAAAAACGTATTTAGTTAGACCGTTTTAAGTGATGAACAGGCGGAAATGGAAACACCTTGGAATCCGCATAACTCACAAGACACAACCATCAAAGGTGTTTTGAGCAAGAGGCCGGTACTTCTTGCAACAACGAGGTGATGTTTCCTGTGTATGTTGACATTCATTTCCTCTAGTGAGGTGTTGTGTCTTCTTGTAGCTACATAAGTCATAAGCATAAAAATCTGTTTTGTGGCTATTTCTAGTGAGGTGTTGCATTGTCGTTTCCTCTAAAAATACCTCATTGGAAATAACCACGGTACTAGACACTTACTAAAAGGGCATTTTCTTAGACCACACCTTTTTCAATTTTCAAGGCATGGTTTGAGAAAACGTTTTTCAAAAAAGACTAACCAAACATTAGGCATTTTTTGGAAACAAATTTTAGATGTGGCATTGATGTGGTGCCATTTTCGAAGAAACAACATTGATGCCAAAAACCTACTATAATTACTTATGACAATAACAACTTAGAAATTCATTTTTAATAATATAAACTTTAATAAAAATGATAGTAAAATAGTAAATATATGTTGATAAAACAAGTGTTTTCAACCAACTTTCTATGAAAGTTGTCCTTTTAGACATAAAATATAACAAAAATTACAAAAAACTAGAAAAACTCTATATACCATTAATTATATAATCGGTTCAGGTCGTAATCCGTTTAATTAGTTCAGAACAGCAAGAACTGGTCCCTATCCAATAATTATTAATTAGGACACATACCATATAACTAGAACAAACATAATTGCACTACAAGAAAATTGATTTTTAGTGACAGACAAAAATCGTCATTATAGATTATATATCCGTCATTAAAAAGTCTATAGTGACAGACAATCAACGGAATTACGTCCGTCACTATAGGCGGCATCACTATAACATTTGGTGACTAATTTAAAAATCCGTCACTAATGGATGCCTTATAATTTTAGAGGCGAATATTTTGTGTGCATTATTAAAACTTATATATAGTGATAGATATGTCCGTCACTATTGTAATATGTTTTAGTGATAAATATTTTTTTTTGTCGTCACTAAAATATGAAATAGTGATGAATATGCTGTCACTATAGATAAATGTTTAGTGATGAAGTTTTTAAAATCCGTCACTATTATATATTGTAGTGACGACCACTTTTACTATTATCATATAGCAAACAAAATTGTGACGGACTGTTTGTCACTATAAATGAATGTATAGTGACGGAATTTTTAAAATTTGTCACTATTAAATAATATAGTGACAATTATTTCTATCACTATATAAACCACTTGTAGATATAATGATGGTGTTGTTTGTCACTATAGATATCTTATAGTGATAGACACTTTTTTCACTATTATCATATGAAAAGAAAAATTGTGACGGATAATCCGTCACTATAAATAAATGTATAGTGATAACATTTTTAAAATTTGTCATTATTAAGTATGTGTTTGGTTCCGTTTATGTTTATTGAATAAACGTTTGTACTTTATTTGCTGGTAAAACCGAGAAATGCAATAATTGCAGCCGTTTATGACAAGTAGGCGCCACTTAAATGTAATAGTGAATAAACGCCTGGCCGTTTGTGGAAGTTTCAAAAAATAACTTCTACAAACGGTTGACATGCACATAAACCAAAGTTCACTTTTTACATTTTCGATGTATGCAAAAGAGCAAGAGAGAAAATGCTGAGATGGCGTGGCACCATCAATAAACATTTACTGAATAAACGTAAACGAAACCAAACACCTTCTAAATAATATAGTAACAATCATTTCTGTTACTATATAATTAACTTGTAGATATAATGACAAACAATACTATCACTATAACCTAAATATTAACAATGTTATTGCACATTGACCTATAAATAAAACTTGTATAAATTGATAATAATTACAATATTATTCACTTCATTGATGTCCAACAACTTTATGATTTAATATCACAAAATATAATGCTAAGTATTTTATAAAAAGTAATAACAATCAAACTTATTTAAATATTTTTCAAATGTCAATTCTGCAATAATTTGTAAAAAAAGAATAATAAGCATTGATTTCCAACAACTTTATCAATAGTCGACTTCTACACAAATTCAACCTACATTTTATAAAAAAAGATAATATGCATGAGGTAAAAATCATATAAATAAATATAAATGTTTGTATAACAATAAAATACTTACATAATTTTTTACCCAAGAAACCTTCAATTGTACTGCATCTTTTAGGGTTGTAATGTGTCAATATGGTTTCATTAGTGATGTTAAAGGGCTAAGTATAGATTTAATGCACACTTCTATCTATCCAACTTCTAATGGCTCTCCACATACAATTTTAGTAGGATCATCACTTGATAAAACTTCTATATTAGTGAGTGGTTCTAAGTGATTCTTTGGAAGAAACAGAGGTAGAATTTGTAGATGTTGAACTTTGTAGTTTTGATAGAGTATGCTAAATTCTTTTTGACTAGTCAGTGGTTCTAAGTGATTGAGAAGACAATGTCAGTCTTTTTCGTCTTTAGAACAGAAGGCAAGCAGTGCAAGGTTTGCACTCATGAGGATTTCAATTACATAGGGGCAGGCTCATGTTAGGTCTTGTTAGGTTTGCACTTACCAAGTAGAAGTTAGAAGGCTCATGTTAGGTCTGCACTCATGTTACCTAAAACCTTTTTCGATTTTGGTTGCAAAGGGGCAGGCTCATGATAGGTCTACACTTATGTTGGAGTTAGAAGCCTTAAAAAACCCATTCAAAATAGTAATATAGAAAGACAAAATCATACCTACAATGTGGCAAGTAGGAGAATAGTTCAAATGTTTAGTTTGAAGAAGACAAAAATTTCAAATTGGATTTTTCCTATTTCAACAATGTGGCAAATTTGTCAGCCTTTGGTTTAACTTTCACAACAAAAGCAAGCAATGCAATCCAGTGTTTGAGCATTTATAAGCCATTTGAGAAGAGAAAAAAGGCCCATACATTCATTAAGCATCTATAGAACCAAATACCAACACCTTATTGGAAGTGTAACAAAAGTTATGGTGTGTGGTATGTGTCTGAAGCTACTAAGGATGAGAGGATTACATTTAAGTATTGTTTCTACAACCAACCTTGGACCTCAAACAACAAGAGTTCGCATCTCCGCCCCACTACCTATCACCCTA